AAAAATATTGGAAATTGTCGATTTGGCAGAGGGGCATGTGATTTGAAATCATTAGTTCGAAAGGAGGTAATTATATGAAGGTTAAGCCAATTCCACGTACTAAAAGTCAAGATTGAAAGTTGTGCAAATGAGTGGAGACACTGAGAAGCCAGTGAGAGTACTCTCTAAGCACTCAAAACATTCGAGAGTTTGGAAAAATATTTAAAATGTGAATTGAAAAAGTGGAAGGTGGAAAGGTTTTCAACTCGAATATGCTGAAAATATGAGCAATAGTATGCCGTATAGATGTTCCCGTGTGATCGAGAAGACAGGAGAATAGATTTAATATTGATTGTGTCCGCCGTAGCTTAGATACTAAATAAAATGTATATAAAATAATTTTGCAAAACTAGTGTGTTTTTGTCTAAAAATCGATGATTCTATATAAAAAAACGTACTGTAACTTTTAAAAATAAATATTGTTGTTTAGATGAATGCCTTTTTTAATTGAAAAACCGTTAAATATTTCATCCCCATTATACAGTCACTATCCAGTACAAAAATAAAAATAATTCGATATATTTATTTGAATAAATAAATTTATTTCAGTGCCAATTCCTTTACACTTGGTCCCTATGATTTTGTGTTCTGATTAGTTTTTTTAGTTGATTAGTCATAAAAGTGTCACTTTTTATCATTCTCTTGCTCGATACGTATAAAATATAATTTAACTTTCTTTCAATTCTCGGCATGTGAAAATAATCCTATATTTTTAATATCGTCCAAATCTATGACAAAATTCAAAAAGTGCTAATGGAAATTAAATAAAATCTTTTGGAAAATTTATGCAAAACAAAAAATGTCACTTAAATTTTCAAACAAATGTCGCGTGTTTTATGTTCATTCATACGTGAATCGTGTGTCTGGATTGTTCTCCAATTGATAGCAACGTCAAGTGTTGTTATTGTTGAACGGTATTGCTTTACATGCGTAATACACCTGAAACTCACTATGTAATGTTCTAATCATTGGCTCGAATTGTGTCTGTATGTGTTGACTACGGTAACCTTAACGATATTTCCGCGTCAAAACAAAAATCGATCCAATTTCGGTTTGCATACATGGATTAAGGATATGGTTGAACTGCATTTGTTATTTGTGTATTTCGAAACAAGTATCTCGTGAAAAGTCAAAGCTAAGTGCAAATAAAAGTAAAAATGTATAGCAATAAAAAGATATTTTGAATTAAATGTTTTCTTTTTTAAATATTCGTTTAAGATTACAAGATTGAAAAATTGATTAAAATGTATGATTAGTAGCTCAAAATAAGAATCGAAATCATGTCAAAAGTAGCAAAGGTGAGTTTTTATGACTACTTAATATTTTCAACTAGCAAAATATGAAGAAAAAAATGAAAAATACAGCGAAATAAAATAAAATTTATGATTACAAAAGTTTATTAAATGGAAAGAAATCCAGTGGTAATTAGATTCCATAGCCTGATAGAAAATGTGCATACATTGAAATCGTGTGTCCATTTCAATTAATCGATTTTTTATGATTATTGTGTCAATTAAACGAAATTGTCTCAAGGTTATTGAAATCGATTGGTTTGTCCATCATTTTGAAAGTCAATATTTCATTAAAAATCATATTGATTTATTTTCAGCAAAATTCGACGTTGAAAACGGCACACATAGATCACAATGACAAAGTGAAAAGCACAAAAAAATCTACAACCAATGGAGGTACAAAGGAGGAAAAGAAAAAAATTGCCAAAGTAACTGAAATATATTCGATTGATGAAAAGAAAAAAATCGAAAAAACCCATTCAACATCGACAAAAACCGCATCAAAAATAAAAAACCCAAAAATCGAATCAAAAACACGACCAAAAATTGAATCCAAAACGGTTGCGATTCGAAATGAAAATTCAGTGCAAAAAGTGCTATCCGTGGAAAAATCGAACAAAAAACAATCAACATCAACTGAAAAATTGAAACAAAAACGTTCAACTTCGGTTGATGAGCCAATTAAAAAAAGACCCAAAGAAAAATCGAAAGAACCAACTCAATCAAATGTGACGAAAACTGTGAAAAGTACTGAATCATTAATACAATCGAAAAATATATCGAAACATCAGACGCCGTTGAAAGCGTCGCATGCAATTGGTGCCAAATCAAGTGCCGCCACAACAATTTCGTCGAAAAATGTTATGAATCAAGTGCACAATGTGACTGTTTCATCACCGCCACCAGTGCGAAGAGAAATTGCCCCAATCGAAGTAGACATTGTGCATCAAAAAGAACAAAAGGAAAAACACGAAAAACCGCAAAAAGATGTAAAAGTAGAACCAAAATCGGAACAAAAAAACGCAGAAATACAAGAACAGCAACAAGAAATTGATTATCAGCAACCTTTGCCCAGAGGTCGGACACGAACACGAACGCTAGAAGATGACGAAATTGTTCTACTTAAATCAAAGCCAAATCCAGAAAGAGTGACAATAAACGGTAACGATTCGAAAGAAAGAAGCGTCATCGAAAGAGTTTCGGTTGAAATTCGACCACCAATTTCATTTGAGGTGCAATTAGACGATACTCATAAAAAGTTTTTGGATAAAAGACCTGAAAATCGTGAATTAGTTCAGACCGAAGTTGCAACAACGGCCGATGGTGCTGATAATACAAGTGAAAATGAATCCGAAAATTATGAAGATGACTTTGAATCGTATGAATCGGATTTTGAATCTGATTTATCCGATGAAGATGAGGAGGTCGATGAAAATGGATCCGTTGAGGAAACATCGATTTCTAGCGGTGAAAGTGATACGGATGAAAATGTGGTAAGCACTGCTTCAAAGCATCCATTTGAAACGGGTCATTCGATTGACAATAGTGAATTTGATTCGGGTTCATTTGAAATGAAAGTGCTATCAAGTCGAGCACGTGAACGCAATGAAATTGAAGCCAAAAGTTCAAATCGTCATGATCAAAAGTTTGAAGTGCAAAATGATTCGGGAATTGAAAACAACTCGAATACATTTGGTGTGAATGCAATGAATCCAACGCCAAATGGACAAATGAATTCGCTGGAGTTGAACAATAAAACGTTCGATAATATTTCGGATATTGAAAATGAAGGTATCAACAGTCTTGATACAAATAATAACAAAGCGAATAGCGGCAAATTGAATGCAACTAAATCACGATTTGCAAAACGTGGTGAAGAATTGCTTAGTAAAATCACATTAGATAATATGAATTATGTGTTATTTGATTGTAAACCCATTCCGTATGAAGTGTTCATGAAAATTTATGGAAATAGTAATACAACGCAAATATCTGTGCAAACGCATAACGATCGTATTGATCAGGAATGCCAAAGTGATGCAATCACAATGCGAACCAGTTGGTCACAATGTCCAGTTACATTTTATACTGAGCAAATGAGCCGATCGAATTTTGACGATTATAAAAATGGTTGTGGAACTGAGAATGACGATCAAACGTTTGGTAGCACAAACGATAATTTGGATGTAACGTGTGAAAATAGTTTAAAAATAATTCGAAAAAAGTCTGTTAAAACAAACTTAAATGATAATTCTATCATAGAAATGGGCAATTTAGCCATGCTTAACATTGATTATGACAATTTAAATCGGTTTTTACTTGAAAGTGAAATGACAATATCAACCATACTAGATGGAAATATTCAAAAACGATGCAGAAAACTCAACGAATCAGCACTTCCTATTTGTAATGGTTTTTTTATATTGAATCCAACAATCAATGCGAATTTCGAAGACAAGCGCATTCATCGAATTTTCACGACTGATGCTTTAGCCGGTTTTGTATTCACATTACATCGCGATCACGAATTGGATGTAATTGGCATGTGGAATTTAATTTCATTTAGTGCACCAGTTTGTTTGCTATCTGTTTGGTCAAAAGTTGTGTGCTTGGAAATTCACCCGAAAATTAAAGATATTGTTTTTGCTGGTCTTGACGATGGGTAAGCTTTTTTTTACCATATATACTTGTTGCCTAAAGATTAAATCTATCCGTAACCAGAACATTTAGTTTTTAAGAAGTCTGTATTCCAGCGTTCACTCCAATGGACACGAACTATATACATTACTTTTAGTAAAATCAGGGCTTTTATTGGTGCCGGAGAAGTGCTGGCACTAGTGCGTAATTATTTCAAGTGCCGCTAAATACAAAAAAGAGCAGTACTTACAAGATAAGTCTCCGAACCTTCGCAGTGTCTATAAGAGCCCTGAGTAAAATTGGCTTTTTTAAAAAAACTTTGCTTTTAACTTTTCTATTTACTTGTTTGTTCTATTCTTATTAGATCGATCGCAGTATGGGATTATTCCGAGTCAAAATATTGGCATCCAAATTTAAATAAGGAGATTAAAAGATTTGTACCATCTCAAATAACAACACCAACATTCGATAGCAAAGATATAAAGGATTTTGGTCGATGTGTATCGATTCGAGGTCTACCAATTTCTGCTGATACGGAACTACTAAATGGTTACAATCCGAAACAGGTGAGCAACTCCAATACTATCATCCCTGATATCCTGATATGTTTATCAAGTGAAACTCAATATTTTCACGAAAAATTATTTTTCTCCCATCATTTTCACATAACTTTTCGTTATTCTCATTTCACAGATGTGTAGCCTGCATGAGTGTGGTTTGTTGATTTTGTGGACTGTTCTAAATAATGCAACGGGTGCATATACGGATTTGTCGAATAAACGAATCGATCATCAGTCGATGTGGAGTAAAGTGAAGCTAATTCAAAATAAAGCGATCGACTTACGTTCATCCGTACGACAAATGGCACAGGTCAAACTATCGCGACCATCGTCAAAATCATTTAATAAAACGCGTTCGTATTTTGAAAGTGAATTGTTCAGTGATGTTGCACTTCAAGAGCTTCATTCAATGAATGCTGAAGAAGAGAAAATTCTGACACATTTTCATTGTACAGCCATTGAATTGACACGTGAAGGTATTTTAATTTCAACCAATGAAAATTTTTTACTCTTTGGCCGTAAATCGTTTAAAAATGAGTCATTTCGTCGTATCCAAATCGATTCGAATAAAAGTGTACGCGTTGAATGTATGGTGGCTTTATCGGGCTTTGACGATGACATTGTTGTCATTGCTTTAAATAATGGTGCGGTAAAATCGTTGTGTTGCGATCAAAATGTTGAGCAAACGGATGATTCAATGACAAACAGTGATGTTGAAGAGAGTTTTTCATCGATGTCATCATCCCAAACACCTCCAATGGGTGATGGAAAAGCTTCAAATTTGAACTTTCCAGTTGAATCATTCGATTATCGAATGGCGTCACCATCAAATGGTTCGGTGCAAATTGCAATGGCTGCTCCACTTCATGCAAACTTCATGGATAATGTTGATGGATCGTTGTTCGGTAAATCGTGTACAATTCAAAGCTTAGTGCAAAATGAACGTAAAATTTATGATGAAATGCAAGCGCTTAATCATCTTGAGAATAATGAAAAAATGCCGTTGGAGATCATTCGAATCAAATCGATGCAACGATCCGTCAGATGCACCCAATTAATTAGTGGCCAAATAATTTTGAATAATTCGTTAGACGCTTTTTCAATATTAACGCGTCAATGCATTGTGCAATTACAAAAATCAAAGAAATTAATCTCACTGTGCAAAAATCGATTGCGAATTTATGATCTTTTGACCAATCAAATTATCAACGTAACCATCAATCAAATGAACGAACAGAGATTCGTACAAGCTACGGCCACAACAGCCAATCAAAATGAAGAATATTTGGTAAGCTTTGTCATTAGAAAACTGTCACAGATTGAATTTATCATTTTTGTAACTATATGTTCATTTCTTTTTAAGATTTTACTGAACACCGAAGGAGTTATTGAGCTACACCAAATAAAAATTGATCCAAACACTGGTTAACATGTTACAATAAAATATTTTACATGAAGCTATTTATATTATTCTTTTGTGAAGTGAATTTTGATAAAAATTTACTATAAATGCTGATTCTTAAATAAATTGTTATCACTCAAATGATGAATTACGTTTTATCTCAATATTTGTCGTTTCTTTCATTTTACTTTAATTTTGCGCAACTTTTCGAACAGGCAGTCTACTTGAATGAAACTTATAAATTGGTCATAAGTGATCTAGTAAATTTACATTATACAATTAACTTATTTTACGACTTAATAGAGTAAGATTTGCATTTTCGTTTGTTAATTATAACAATTAATTGACCAATTTTAATTACACAAAGGAAATGATTAAAATTTATCTGATATAAAAATGGTTAACATTGACTTGGTATTCTTGTCTGGAAATAATAAAATAAATGAATCAATTTAAATGATTTACTACCATAATATTTCACTTGTTGAATGCTATTAAATACACCTTTTTTATTTATTGTATAAATTTTCTTTGGTACATATATAAATTAAAAGTAGGTATATATTTCAAAAGTTTTTTTTTTGCATTTCTAAAGATTTCAAATCATTAACATGATAAGGAATAAATAATCAAGAAAACAATAATGAATAGATAATCAATTTGCCGGACTTCCGAAAACTCATAAGGTTAGAAGCAATTCAATGCTGATCTGATTCAAATCAAAATGAATGGGATTAGAAAAATCGCTCACCTTGAATTGTTTCTTGAAATCGTGTTTTGGTCATTTTTTTTTCTTTCGAAATCGAAATGTTTGCCATTCGAAATTTTATATTATTTTATGCATGTTATGTCAGAGAACAAATCAGCTTAACACATATAAAAAATACTGACAGACAATGGACGCTTTTTATTGAATAAAAACTGTACAGTGTACGTTTGTACATACAGTAATTGAATGTACGAAAAAGTGAAGTTCACAATAAATCAAATGAACTGCAACCAGTTCGCAGATATATTTTTTTTTCGTATCGAAAATCGAAACGACGAAAAAAAAAACATCGAAATTTATTGAAATGATGGATTTTTTGTAAATAGGAAGTCACGTATTCAGAACGCATTGTTACAATCCATTGTATTTATTTCTGGTCATTGTATGTCGAGTGAAAACGTATGCATTGTTCTGTCTGACACAAAGCCCAGGACGAAAAAAAAAATGTCGGCAAAGAATGAACATGGTGATAGGATACACGTGGCAAATTTAAATGCAATTATTATGCAATTGTTTGTTTGTTTAAACAAATAACCAGCATCAAGGGAGACAGCCTCTGAACAAAAGGAGGATTAAAAATGTGTCGACTTCATCAGCATGCATGTATATAAAGAGATGTCATTTTATTGAATGGTATGAATTCAGTCTGGATTTTTCTCAAATTATCGCGAAATGTCAAAAATATTGAGTTTTAGATATTAATATGATTCAATTTTATTATTCACTAATATCGAACACCAAATAATCAAAAGAATCATTATGACCACAATGGAAAATGCCATAAATTGATATTTATTTTAGACTATTGTGTTTGCGGTTGCTGTAAATAATGCAATTAACTAGACAAACAATGGGTCACTTTTACATACATTACATTTCTAATCATTTGTATTCGATGCAATCGAAATTATTGGTTTAAATTATTTCCAGTTTGAATTTGTAAGAGGTGCTTTTTAGTGTGCACACCCCCAACAGAAATTACACACATTTTTGACCAATGCCATGGTTATTTTTTTACATTGAAAGCAAATGAATAATTTTTCTTGATTTAAAAAAGATATGATAAAAATCGAAATATGTCGACTTGTGAGTGGAGATTTATTTTATGTGCTGGCACATGTTACAAATAAAAATGTAGACATTACAAATAAAATTATGTGTTCGAAGACAAAAATATTTTGATATGGCTTTTTACATTTTTTTTTATTTCTGGGCACATTAAACATGTTTTTGGTATGTAGCAAACACCGCCATATTCTTAAATATGAATACAATATATGGGAAATATGCGATACACAAAATGCGTTGTATGAAGATGAACTCCGTTTTTATGAAACTTATCAACTAATTTTTTAATTAATAGTGGACATTTCGTCACTTTGCTGCAGCAACGTTCAACTTAAAATGAAAGGTTCTACTAGCAAAACAATTCCAATGCAAATGATATGTTTTCGTTATTTTTTACTGATTTGTTTAATTTTTGAGAAATTATAACAAAAATTATTTATAAATTGGCTCTATATGACCTTATATACAATTGCATAAATTTCAGCTTTTGTTCAAGTTAAATAAATTTGCAATGATATAGTACGAAACAACTAGAAAATTTCAAAATAAAATGTCGTGGAAAAACAGTGAGCTCAACATTTTGTTGGCATCGTCGGTGTATACGCAAATAACGCGATGATGATGATGATGTCGTTGTTAAGAACAACAATAATATTATCTCTATGTGAAATATGAAAAAAAAAAAACTTATTCAATCCTGTCACGTCTTCTTTGCTCAACCAAAATACAAAAGGGTAAAATTTGCGCGCATACACACGCGCTTATCCACACACACATCATTGTATATCAGCACTGATGAGCGTTTTCATTGTATTTTCGGCGGCACACATGAAAAGAATTCAAATACACTACTGACGCATTCGTAATTTGTATAGTAAGCGGTAAATAGGTACACCTCATCGCAATCGGCGATAAATAAATGAATACGCAATGAAAAGAGGCGCTTTGTTATTCGGGCGATATATTTTGCATGCAAAAAGTCCAGCATGTCGTTGATTTGAATTGCTATGATTGAGATAGAGAGAAAGAGAGAGAGACAGAAAAAAGGAATGAAGAATTGTGAATATTGATCCTTCATGGAAATTCAATTGTTCCGCTTGAATTCATACATTTGACCAATTGCCTTGACAACATTTATGATTGATATAAATATTTAAAATGAAATGCATGCAACTGCACACAATTTCTCATGCCATGCAATTGATGGTGAAATATACCATTTATATCAACCAAAACTATATAATTGGCAATAGATTTTCATGTAATTACCACGATTTATCGACACATATGCGAGTCGTTTAGTGCATCAAGATAATCCATTACAATCCATGCCATCACTATAAAAAGATGAAAATCATAACTTTTTTTTCATTCGGGGTTCTATTTTGACGGACACCAGTGCATCGTAGAAACATGAAATCCATTTTCTGAACCAGCAAATAACATTTTAATGAGCATTGGAATATACATTAAAATGTATATCATAAAAATGTCATAAGATTAGTGCAAAACGACATGGGAAAAAATCTACATCGAAAGATTGGGACATGAAATTGAAATCGGATGTAATATTGACTTATAGCCTATAATTGCATCTAAATTCGATGTTGCAAGCTGATGGATGATTCTGAATTTAATCATAAGTATAAGTGAATTTGATCATGAATTACCATGTGAATTACATATTAAATATAAAAAAATAAATAAATCAATGTGCAAAAATGTCAAAAAATATGCCAGTTTCTCATACACTTTGTCCAGACTCATATTTTTGTTTTTCAGTGGAACTATCAATAGATTTATGTTTTGAACATTTCGCATAATACCGATTCAATTTATGCAAATAAAAATCTCATAAATAATTCGGTTATAAATCTAAATAAATTGTTTCATTCAATAGAAGCAAAACTTCTTTCATTAATCTTCTAGCAAAAAATGCAATCTAATTTCCCAATTTTTCGATCACATTTGACAGCAACAACGTTGAATGACAATGTGGTTATTCGTTTGTTTATTCAGTTTAGTGCGGTCCAAAAGACTCTCACATTCGAATCAAACCATGGACCATGTCGTAAGCGTTCTACCAAACGCCATAGGCGACAGCAGGCAATAAGTGATTTTGGAGGTGGAAAAAAACATATCCACATATACTCATTACATGTAAGCACTTACTGTGTAACCATTGCAATATCCACATTGAGGAATATGAATCAAAAACTCATTCGCTATAACACATTTACTTAATTAAATTCTTGAGTGAAAATTCGATGTTTAACGGTTTTTGCGTTTTCTAGTATTTTGCACACACTAGTGTAAATTGCAAACCGGGTTTTTTTTTCTCTTTGCCATTTCTCCACCAATTTTGCTCCCTCATGAACGGTAACTTTCAAATTATGCCAGACATATGCTAGATGGATTTTGATCGAAAAATGCGTTTAACATCGAACAGCATTCAAGATTTATGCACGCTTCAAGCCGTTTATTATCGAATTTGCAAGTGCAATGGTCTTCGTTTCTCCAACGAAGACTGCACCAAAGTTCAGTGTACGATGAAGTCTTTTAAAAACGATTCTATTCGATAATAGCAAAAAAAAAACGATAATTACACGTAAAATTTAAGCATTTGATAAAGAATTCCAAAGCATTTTATACGCGAAATAAATAAAAATCGCCTGACTTTATGTAAATTGTCGATAGATCAATGCATCGTCGTATTGAAATCATCAAATTCAAACGGAAAATGATGAAAAACAAACAAATAAAGAATGATATTCCACATACGATGAAAAATCTGTTTTATTGTAACGAAAAACCGTGTATTGTGTTTGGATAAAAGTGAGTAGTGTATTATGTGCATACAGTGTATATAAATACATGAAAATAATCCTCTTTAAATGCGTATGTTGAATCCTTTATTTGTGTTTTTGTTGTTGACTTTATATATGAACGTCAAAATGGGTCGATTGCAGAAATGAAATGTAGAAAAAGAAATTGTGTGAATAGTTGAACTGAAGTCGTCGAACACACGTTATTTATGATTTTTTCTTTCTCGGTGAATTGCCGCCGATCAAACGCGATGTCTAAACATTTTTATTATAGCATATATGCTCGAGTACAGGGCTGTTGTGGGCCTGCTCATAGGCAGGATCAATCGGGGTGTATTACCAAATGCTAAAAAATTTCGTTCAACACATGAATCTTGGTATATTTCATTATCGATTTCA